CTTTGAGAGCACACTAACTTAGTGTAGTGCCATAGCTTTTGTGTGGTTATAAACAATAGAAACTAAAATTGTGGTAGGTGGCTTGCATTTTTAGTAGGCTAGCGTAATACTTGCTTCGCCTCATAATTGTCTAACCTGTTTGTTAAGTGTTGTAGAAGTTTTTATTAGGCTATTCACCCCCCTCTAGCCATTAGGACCTTTCAATCTTGGTTGTGCAAATATGCCTCTATGCTCGCACTGGGAAAAAATGTTCTAGGAGTTTGACAAATATGTCTTAGTTCCTTAGGTTTACTAACATAAGATTGCAGATAGCAAAAAACTACTGTTGGACCTGACGGTTGTTATTCTCGGGATCGTTCCATTCGAAACACGCATGTTCCCAACAAATTGAGTGGCTGTCTGCGTGAATCTATGAATGATCGGAACTGTTTTTTTATTCAGTTACTTAAAAAACTTAACCGAGTCTACTTTTTAAAAAAAACTGTTTTGAGACCTACTAAATTGTCTTATTTCCTCATCAAGTATTTTATTTGCTTCAGTCCAGCCATGGATTCTGATGTAGACTTTATTTAGCCAAAAAATATTAGGTATACTTCTAATTTATGCATCCCTGTATCCTACCTTTTCCTCATTTGTAGAATTTTGCTTTCTGTACAAAAAGGAAGGTGATGGATACCTTTGCATATTCTGCAGGTCACATTCACACGCTAAAAAAGAAGGGAACCAGAAAAAAAGTATTGGACGAACTTATGTCCAGTTGCAGAGTATGAAAAAAAAGCCTACCATCTAGGCCACATCACACGTGAAGGTCAGTTTGCTAACTTTAATGGTATGCAATTCTAAATCTATGCGCTATGGTCCTGTTCAGCTTCTTAATTCCAATAACTGTAATTCCATTAATTGCAAGCGATAACTGTGATTTATTAGTGTGACTTTGAAGTGTTCAGCTAAATTCTCAAACTGTATTGCGATGTTTCCTTCCTGTTGGTTCCCTTCATGGCAAAGAAGTTATTACTGAATGGTTTATAGTGTGGTGTCCTCAGCAGTTACTGTTTCAAGCAATAACTGTGATTTATAAAGTTAGTAGTGGATGGTTTACGGTGTGGTGTCATCTATATTGCCATGTTTCCTTCCTGTTGATTCCCTTCTCAGCAAACATGTCAGTATTGGATGGTTTACAGTCTGGTTTGTGCTTCGCTAAAATTATTACATAAATATTTCCAAGGCTTCTTATCGATATAGGTCTAGATTTTCGGTTACCACTTAATGATATTTACTATGCTGTTTACTTCTATATAAGTTGCAGCAGCTATGCATTGCTTTATGATGTATTTTACTTTCACTTCTATCATTGCATTTCCATATGACTGTCGATGCACGGAGGGCGCACGTATCGCACGTAATGGACTAGTACACCATCAGAGCAGCACTCGGTCGGGCAGTCCCGTGTGTTGTGGTGCAACAGTGATTCTACTGCATCACTATTCGCTGCGCGTGTGCAACGGGATCGGCGAGAAAAGAATGGGATCCGTACACTACCTGTGTGTGACGGGTATGGATGAAAACGGTACGGATATTTATTCGACCGTCCATTCGACCGAACAAATATGAATACTTATCTGGATAGTTACTCGGATATCCGTTTTTTTTTTATACGGATACTAAAATGGATATCTTAGGCGGATATCAAATACGGATGTAATATCATCGATATCCGGCGGATATCGGATAATCCGGATAAGTATCGGATATATCCGGATATTTAAAAACGGATATTATCCGGATATTTATTTAAAATTTAAAAATCACAAATTTGAACCATCCAAACTATCTCAAATGGAAAGTTGACCAAAACAACAATTGTAGATCTTGATGAGTTGAACAAACTTGGTATTCAAAACTTTTCAATTTGAAGTCATTTAGAGTTCATAATACTAGAGTCAAAGTGTTGTTTTTTAATTTGACCAAATTTGACTTGGTCAAACTTGCTCAAATGAGACACTAAATGACCTCAGATGAAAAAACTCTGAATACCAAGTTTGATCATCTCAGCAAGATCTACAATTGTTACATAGCTCATTTTCCCATTTGAGAAAGTTTTATCAAACACTAGTCACAAATTCTTGAATCTCATATAGACTTTCTGAAACTATGTCACACACTTGTGAAATTTGAACTACATTTTGTTCAAACTTTCTCAAATGAAAAAATAGCCTATATAAGGATTGTAGATCTTGATGAGATGAACAAACTTGGTATTCAAAACTTTTCAATTTGAGACAATCTAAGGTTCCGAAAACTAGTTTGTAAACGTTGAAATTTAAAAATCACAAATTTTAACCGTCCAAACTATCTCAAATGGAAAGTTGACCAAAACAAAAATTGTATATCTTGATGAGTTGAACAAACTTGGTATTCAAAACTTTTCAATTTGAAGTCATTTAGAGTTCATAATACTAGAGTCAAAGTGTTGTTTTTTCATTTGACCAAATTTGACTTGGTCAAACTTGCTCAAATGAGACACTAAATGACCTCAGATGAAAAAACTCTGAATACCAAGTTTGATCATCTCAGCAAGATATACAATTGTTACATAGCTCATTTTCCCATTTGAGAAAGTTTTATCAAACACTAGTCACAAATTCTTGAATCTCATATAGACTTTCTAAAACTATGTCACACACTTGTGAAATTTGAACTACATTTTGTTCAACCTTTCTCAAATGAAAAAATAGCCTATATAAGGATTGTAGATCTTGATGAGATGAACAAACTTGGTATTCAAAACTTTTCAATTTGAGACAATCTAGGGTTCCGAAAACTAGTTTGTAAGCATCGAAATTTAAAAATCACAAATTTGAACCGTCCAAACTATCTCAAATGGAAAGTTGACCAAAACAAGAATTGTATATCTTGATGAGTTGAACAAACTTGGTATTCAAAACTTTTCAATTTGAAGTCATTTAGAGTTCATAATACTAGAGTCAAAGTGTTGTTTTTTTATTTGACCAAATTTGACTTGGTCAAACTTGCTCAAATGAGACAATAAATGACCTCAGATGAAAAAACTCTGAATACCAAGTTTGATCATCTCAGCAAGATATACAATTGTTACATAGCTCATTTTCCCATTTGAGAAAGTTTTATCAAACACTAGTCACAAATTCTTAAATCTCATACAGACTTTCTAAAACTATGTCACACACTTGTGAAATTTGAACTACATTTTGTTCAAACTTTCTCAAAATAAAAAAATGGCCTATATAAGGATTGTAGATCTTGAATCCATGACCATGACTCCATGAGACCCATGAAGCAATGTGCTTGGCTATTTCTACTCATGCCGCGAAAGATTGGTACTTATATGATGTTTGATGTATGATGTATCCGATCTTTATCTTATTTGTTGCTTTACTCTTTAGTCTTTAAACTTAATCTAGATGGATTATGGACTCATAGAGTGGTGTAATGGTTTAGCATGTCCAGCGTATGATATATATATCTTCTGCTTTTACTCAATATCCGAATAGATATTTGTATCCTGACCTTCTCCGAATCCGATTCATACCGTATTCGATACTCATTATTCAGTATCCGTAACCGAAGTCAATCCGTGATTCGTATATATGTATCCGAGCGTTATCCGTGTCCGAATCCGAATCCGAATAGAAATATGAAAACAAATATAATATGAGTGATATCCGTTCGTATCCGATCCGTTTTCATCCCTAGTGATGGGATTTGATCCCACCCCATCACTTAGGCCATGTTTAGTTGTCCCAATTTCCAGAATTTGGCACTATGTAAAAAGAAGTTTCTTCGTCACATTAAACTTGAGGTACATGTATGAAGTACTAAATATTGACGAAATCAAAAACTAATTGCACAGTTTGGTTGTACTTTGCGAGACGAACGTTTTAAGTCTAATTAGTCAACAATGGGACAATTATTACCAAATAAAAACAAAATCTTTCAAAAACTGATGCATGCAGCAGACGCTGTTTACATTATCCCTAAGTTCCGCGGCGCCGAATCCGGGGCCGAACTAAACGCGGCCTTACCTAAAGTACCTGCTCTAACTAACTCTGCTGATTGTCACGAAGATGTCCGGGCCCACTTGACGAGATCCAAGGTCGTCATGATCTTTCTTCCCATTCCATTCCACAGGCGTTGGCGATGGATGGCGTCTGTTTCGATGGCTACACACCTAGTAGTGTCGGGGAACACCTGATCACCAATGTCAGAGCTCGCTCGCTTTCCTCTGCAGGGAGAAAAGAGCACCAACCGAAAGCTCGCGACAGGCGCCACTCCGGTCGCCGCCGCGAGACCCACCGGCTGTCCTGCTGCCCCCCGCGGCGCTGCCGACACCCCGCGCCCGCCGGACGCACGGGCGGATTCCAATCCCATCCGTCGCACGCCCCGGACAGCGACGACGGAACCGCAAACCACGCCCAGCCAGCACCCAGTAAATAAAGCCGAAAAGGGAACGGGGGGCGCAACGCCAACAAGAGCAAGTCTTATCTACACACACAGGCACACAGCGTAGGCACAGCAGAAGACTCTGATTAGATTAGAAATGAATCGCTTGCAGATGCATTGCACTAGTTTTGTTTCGGACACAGTCCAATCCATGATCCATCACACGTGCGAGGCTGCGAGCGAAACAATCAATCGCCACATACCCGGGGGAATATACATACCATGCCTTCCTTCCTAGTTCCTACTTCTAGGAGCAAAAGCCAAAACCAAAAGAGCAGCAATGACAGACACAGAGACGCACTACACTGCACTGCACTGCACTGCGGCTAATGATGCTACTAAGTAGGCACTGTCATCCATCCCAAAAGAACAAATTGACGACAGGCTGAGGCTGAGCTAGAGCTAGACAACGTCCCAATCTTCTTTGTTAGATTATTATATTAGATAGAAGATGCCTACTACTTTGGACCGGCCGTCGGTCCGAATCTGGTTAGGGGGTAGGCCAGCCGACGTCCTGATGATCAGGAGGCGATCCCGGGCTCCAGCTCCGGGGTGAACCCGTGCGCGGCAGCGGCAGCTGCAGCCGGCATCTGATCCTCCCACACCAAACCGACATCGTACTCCGGAACATACTCCTGCAAGAATCACACGCGCGTAAGGCGTGAGTGAGTGAGGAACCGCCAATCAAATGGTTCGATCGTTCAGTCAAAATAGGCATCCCCTACTTGGAGAGCAATCACTTAGGAATCAGAATCCCACCTCAAGCTTCAGAACAAGCTCCTTCGCCGTAGGAGCTGAGATGATGATGCGCCGAGCGTCCTCCTTGATGAATCCTTCGTTCACAGCCATGTCGATGAAGGACAGCAACGGGTCGTAGAATCCATCCACGTTCAGAAGCCCAACCTGCAGGTGAAATTTTACACTCGGTTAATTAGACACACAGCTATATATTGAGAGAGAAAAGAAGCAAACTTGTGTAGAATAAAATAGACAGATTAGCAGGTTATCAAATTCCAAGCTAGTGCTGATTGCAGGCAGCCTATTCCTCGCAGATAGGATTCTCGTGGGGCCAATAATCCCCGTTAATATAATATAATACTGCAGCGTTTAACAATTTGGTGGGGCCATTAGGTTCCAATAATCGCCCTATTCGCTTGGCTTATAAACCGTACTTTTTTAGCCAACGAACAATATTTTTCTCTCATAACAAATCAGCCAACAATACTTTCAGCCATAGCTTATCAGCCAAGCGAACAGGGTAGATAGTAAAACAGCTGACTAAGCTCACCAATGCGGAGCAATTGTTTAGAGAGGTTGCCAACTGCACATTCCCTTTGAAATGAGAAGTTTGACCAGTACAAGATCCACCAGAATCACTCTGTCAGTTTAGTCAAAATATTCATGAGGTATTAAGTGGACAAAAGCGTATAAACAACGGAGAGCGCGGATCGCATGCTCCCCCAACTAAGTTCCAATTAAAACACCTGTGGGCGTTAAGCGAACTAAACTAGACTAATAATGCAATGGTTTGGCTCTGGCCATCCAAAACGCCAGCTATCACATGGGCACACTGTGCACCACGAAGCCATGATCAAGGCAAGATGTTTGCGAAAAAGATCGCGGTATCTCTAATCTAACGACTTTGTGATAAACTAGTGGATTATTACAGAATTGCTAGGACAGAAAGAATTCTGCGCCGCACATGATGCTTAATTATTGGGAGTAAGTTTTTTGGTTTGGATCCAACAAGGTATCAGGATCAGTTGTTACCGGCTTCTTATGGATTCCTAGTTGCGCCCAGGTGATGACCTCAAGCAGCTCTTCCAGAGTTCCGTAGCCGCCTGTAATGTAACACCAAGAAAGCGTGTCAAATTTGGAATCCCATGACTATCAATCAATTCTCAAGAAAACTTTGTGTACCAGTACTGTACTGAATAAACAACCATACCAGGTAACGCTATGAAGGCATCAGCAAACCGAGCCATCTCGGCCTTCCTCTCATGCATGCCGGAGACTGCCCTTACTTCCCCAACAGGCTCACCAGTTACCTGCAGAAGAAGAAATTAAGAATCTAAGCATCAATCTACGCCATTTAAAAATGGATACTTAAAAATGCTCTACTGAAATTAGAAGTGCAGTACCACATGACCTCATCCTTCTTATCTTAAATTATTACAAAATAGAACTGCCTAGTTGCACATAAAAGCACTAGTCAAGGGCGGACCAGGACCAAATCTACTTTCAGCATAAGAAAGTACAAGTGCATTGCAACAAGTAAAGAACACAAGACAATCACACAACATGCAATGCAATGCAGTAAAAACTTGACAACAAGCAAGATCAGTACAGTAGCAGTCCGGTAAAATCATAAAGCTTGAATACCTATTGAAGTAGTACAGCACACGATGTTTTTTTTTTGTAAGGAGCATTAGATTCATGTGATCGATATAAATGCATCATGTCTCCCTACACAAAGGGTCCCCTTGTTATTTATTGGTGCTTGGTGTCTATTGTTCACTCAGATGCAAGCCGTGCGACTACAGGCATCACGAAAGCAGCCAGACATGCATTCCAAAGACAGCAGCAGTGAACAGCAGCAACAATCAAATGCATGCAAAGTCTCCAGGACGTAGAAGAGGCTCACCTCTCTGGGCATCAAGGATTTTGGGATGACCCTGCAGTCAAGAAAAGAGGGGAAACAGAAAGGCACGTCAGTTTATTTGTAGCATGAAGCAGTCGAGCAGATAGAAAGCACCAGACCATGGCCTTTCCCGTTGCAGGAAACTGGGAAGCCAGGGCTTGCTCAGGCTAGGCACGCCACAGCAAGAGACTCAGGCCCTCTAGAGAGAAGCAGACTAGGAACTGCACAATTATTAAGGCAAACAAGAGAGGAGAAGAGGAGAGGACTAGCCCCCCTTAATGTTGCAACTTGCAATCCCATACTACACATTTGCAGAATGGCCTTTTGGAAAACCAGGCCAAAAGGCACTTCCATTCCACCCCTGTGATGAAGCCCAACCCAGTTGCATTCAAAGTGGCTCCTGCTGAAATGATGCAGCAAGAGACTCACGTCTCAACGGCATACCCGGGGGGCAGAGCCACGGCTGTGGCAATCAAAAGCTACCATTTTGGTACAAGAAGGCACAGGAAGCATGCACTCACAGCAGCAGCCAGCCAGGACCAGAAGGAGCGCTTTCTCATCAAGGAGAGCGAGCGGCTGGCACGCACACAGCAGGCAGCAGCACAACTTGTCTAGTCTAGAGATAGAGAGGGAAGGAAGGGGTTTGGATGCTCACCCAATCACATGGCGACCTCCATCATGAACCGCATGAGAGACCAGCCCCATGAGGCCGATGGAACCTCCCCCGTAGACCAGGTCTATGCCCCTCTCCACCTGGCATCAGGAAAATCGAGCAAATTCATTCACTCATCGTCAACAGCGACAACATGTAGAAATGCAGAAAAAAAACAAAAGGCGATATTTTTGCTACAGAATTTGGAATTTTGGATTTTGGTGCGCCGAGCAAGCAAAGATTGTTCATCCGGGGAGGCAAATGAGGTCACCGCGCGCGGCAGCTCAGCACCATCCATTTCATTATGGTCTGGGACGAGGACGACCATTCAACTACGAGACCACCGCCGAAAACAGCAAAGATTCGCGGCGCCTTTCGGCTCCCCCGATGGCGAGCAGCCGAGCAAGGTTCGCCGCGTCCCAGCCGTGAGCCGCGCAGAGCGCGGGTGCATGATCACACAAGGACGGGAGGACGCGCGGCGTGCGCCACGGCCGCAGCTCTCGGCGCAGCAGCAGCAGCACACGCAACCGGCCGGCCGCAGAGGCGCAATCGAGTGGAGCGAAGCAAACAAGATGGCAGAAACAAACAAGGCGCGGGATTTTGATCTGGGACCAGACACCAGACCGGCCGGCGGTGATTCGCCCCCGAAAAGATTGGAATTTTTTGACCGTAAAGGCGGGATTTTTTTGAGGTGAGGGAGAGGGTGGAGGGGCCGCGTGACGTACCAGCTCCTTGCCGAGCTCGACGGCGGCGTCCTGGTAGCTGGGCTTCCGGCCCTTGGCGCTGCCGCAGTAGACGCAGATGCGCTGGAACCGGGACCGCCTCTCGCCGCCGCCAACGCCGTTCATCCCCGCCTGCGCGGCCGCCGCGACCCCAGTCACTCCAGCTCCGCCGCCGCTCTTCTCGGCCACAGCCGCGTCCATTGCCATCGCCGCGCGCGGTGCTGGGGGTTAGCTGCCGATCGATGTGCTTGTGCTAGTCCGACGAGGTGGTGGCGCCGCGGAAGGAGGAGGCCGCGCGGTTCTTTTGGGTAGGTGGGCGCTTGGGTGTAGCGGGAGGTGAGGGTAGGCAGCTGTACACGGGAAATTGCGAGTGCTCCGACGACTGGGATTGCGATACTGGCTGCTGCTGCTGCTGCTGCTGCTGCCGCCTCGACCTGAGCTTGAGCCGGATGGCGTGGGAGAACGCGTGAATTTATAGTGAGCCTGGGAGGTTGAACGGGAGGGGCCTCCTGGCCTGGGTTGGTGGGTCCAACATTGCCGGGGCTGCCAGGGCCCCACATGTGGTGCTAGGGGCTTTCTCGCCTTCTGTTTTTGTTAGAAAAGCAGGGAGCAAGACAAAGCAGCTGATGCAAATGATTGTGTATTCTATTGAACAGTATTGTACATTCATATACAGAGCTTACGTGGACAATTACAAGTGTGAAAAAGAGAGATGGGTGAAAAGACACCCCTTGGGATTATTTCCTAATTGATCATAAATAATAATTCTCAACACTCCCTCTTGATGTTCTTGTAGTCTTCACCGTTCATCTATTATGAACCTTTAGGAAATCCTATGAGAAAAAACCAAAGTAATACCAGTATATCAGGCAAAACTCCTTAAAACATAGTGGAAAAAATAAGAAGAAACACCTTGATATACAATCACCAATGTTATTAGAACATTTGAGTTTAACTCAAAGCCTTAGTCTAAAAACACTTTGACCATATGGTCAATATGCATCAAATATCATCTTCCAAAAATCTCAGTGGGGAAAATAGATGATATAGCATATACCTTTGTGTTGACATTGCCTCATAAAAACTTTATATGAGAAACCTAAAAAGGAAAAACTCACATAAAGAAAAGAGTACAATGCATGTTATGTTTCCAATATCATCCACCAAAAATCCCCGTGGGAAAAAATGGATAATATGACAACCTTGTGTTGATATTGTCCCATTAAAAACTTTATATGAGACATGAGAAACCCTAAGGGAAAACTCATACAAAGAAAAGAGTGCAATATGATGTTTGTAGCAAGTTATTAATCAGAGAGACTCTCCCCTTGATACTAGCAAACCTCGAAGTAAATTCATACCAATGCACTCAACACATAAGAAATATGAAGTATGGTAGATTCTGTAAATATCTCTGTAAGAGTATCACAAGACTTAGTTTGCAAATGTTCATATGTCCATATCACCTATGGAACGGAACCATATTAGTGCAAAAATATTACATTAAGTATAACTTGTCTCCATCTACACAACACACGTTGCATTACCTTTATAGATAATGACCATTGATTCAATAAAATCAATACCACATAATTTCAGTATGTGATATATCATTCTGTTAAGCTATACACATTCATGTGAAGCCTTGTACAATACAATGTCAAAATGATTAATGGAATTGACCATAAATGTCTATTTAAAGACTATTACAAAATGGTTTTTCCATATTCATGTAAAGCCAATTTTAATGATTTGGAATTTGGGGATCTTATATATAACCAGAATCATTATATCCACATAATCGGATCATGAATTACACCAAGATCACATGTGCTATTTGAGATATCAAAAGATATTCTTAACTTTAATCCACCAACATTTGGTAGGATTAGCGCTGCTACTAGATAACAAACTATTGCAAAAATAATATTCGGTCGAAAACTTTTGCAAGATTTATTAGCGCATAAATAGCACAGAGATAATGGACCACATGTCCCAGTATCTCATCTTAGTCACTATGGTATAAAACAATCTTCCTCTATCATGAGGTAGAACAACCATAAGATACCTTCATATTGAATCACTCAATATGATCTAGATATAGATAGTTTTTTGTACAAAATCCTAAGAGAAGATGCTTGAATCATAAACACAAAATAAAATTTTGGTTTAGTCTGTGTTTTCCATCTAAAACTCTGTCTTCAGATTACTACGTGCTATTAACATGTGTTCATCACCAATGATGTCAAGATTATTGACTATCATATAACACTATGAAATCCAATCAATGACTTTAAAATGGACACCACATGTAATCAATCTTGTATCTCTTCAGTTTAGGGAATACACACAAAGTTGATTGTACCAAATTCGACATAACTGCCTTAAGCCATATATTGACTTAAGCAATACACAATATGTGTTACAATTTTATGTATAAGGGTTGGGTATATATGAACTCCTTCCTGGAAGCTTCACAAATACACCAAATCAAGTGATCATATAAATATATGCAATCACTACATCTATCAACTATCAACTGCAATGATAGATGCTTTTGTACCGCCAATCAAAAGATAGTATCAGAAATTTATAACACTTACTATGAAGAATAATTTGCATTGAAAATCAATGACTAGGCTTTGCGTAAACCCCTTTGTGCTACTAGCCTTGCTTTGATCTCACCACCACATTGTTCTCAATCCATTCTAGGATGAAAACACTTGTGTACCCACTATAAAGGTACCATGAGGTGTTGGCATCACAACCCAAAACACCTCTTTTCTGGTCAGCAAGACTATCTCTGCATGTATTATTACATCACTCAACAAGTTCCAGTAAAAATGAGCAAAGCTCTCTGCCATGGTCTTATTGACTGAATGACTTGGAATGTTGTATACAGTTTGTTCAGAGAAGTACGTGTCGACACATGTAGCCTTTCTATGATATAATTCTCCGGTTATCAAAACTCAAAATACCCTGAATAACTCATCGTGACTTTCCAACACAAGAGTTAGGGCTTTTCGATATCCCAGCATCAGTATTTAGGTGCACCTCTGAGCTAGGTTTGTGGATGACATTCATCCACTGGGTAATAATTAATATTTACCCAAAAGGTGTCGCCAACCATAGGTTGACCTACATTTACTTCTTTAGAAGGAAGCCTTCTATTGCTAGCATGAATAATCCTACTTTATGGCCATACTTCTCCCCCTCTTATTTACAATTGGGAGTTAAGTGGGTTTACTTAGTATCACCACTCTTTCTGGCACATACTTTCAAAGGATTAATAAGTTTAAAAGACACCTTAGTAATCAATAAATAAATTTGGCAGTTTATTTGCAATATTATGCATATCAATAATTATTTGAGCTCAAAATTTAGTTCATTTAGTACGTGATCCTGAGCTTGGAATGTCTTATGCATTCCAAATAATTTCATGGCATTATGTATGGTATATCAAATCTTCCCCTAATGCCTGGAAATGCTCATTGTCAAAATAAAACCAGCATACGGGTCATAAATAGATCCTCCATAAGAGATCTAAATACTTAACAATCGACGAAGATTGAAATCTCACATTGATCCCCAGTTTCCTGTGTGAACCCATCAATGTATGCTGTGGTTGTGAGATTGGTACGTATATAACGTACTCAATCTTATGCAAATAGGAAATCTTCATGGATTCCCACGTACTAAATGCATATAGGGAATATACAGTTAATCTCAAGTTAGGAGTGTGTAAATCTATCTGACCCCAACACAAAGTTGGCAAATAGCAATTCACTAAGAATGGTCCTGCTATGACCTTGTCATACCCATAGATTTATTTTATCCTTTTGGATATGTAACTAAACTCTTGTTATACTAACAATCGTCATTGTAGGCACAAAAATTCAGTAGTGTTCAGGATAATGAGCTCAGAATATGAGCCATTATTTACCAAATGCATGGCTGAGTGTGGATACTCCACACACTCTAGATCACCTTATAGATGTATCTTCACAACCATGAAATGTCTGAACTATCCATACAATCTTTGTATCGGACCAATACATATTCTTTTGAATATGATCAAAGAATCTAAGACATTTAATCTGATTTTAAAATAAGAGGGTCTTAAAATCTATTTTCCTTGTGGCACTTATCGTATCCATACTTTGGAATAATCTTGACCAAAATAATTGCCAATAATTTTTCACCTCATCCCATATCATGGCCAAGTTGTTCATTCTAAATCCAGAATGCATCAATAGTGTGAAAAATTATCTTATACGCAACATGTTGTACGAGGATGGTTGTATGTATAATACAACCAAAACGAGACTTATCTTATTACTTATATGCCATATCCAATGTTGTCTTTTTGTGTTTCCATACGAAAACACAATTGGATATCTCTATAATTAGTAAGATACAATTAAATTAGGACATAAGAAATATATCCTCAATCACTAACTTAGTATCCATAGGAAGAATGATAGTAGCAAAATATGCCAAAACTATCATTGCATCGCATCAGCGATGGCCAATAATATTCTCTCTTCTTGTCATAAGAACTAGGAATAATTTGCTTCCTTAATTATAGAGTTTATGGTACAAATGTTTGAAAGCATCTTGGCCCCTAGTTTGATTTCGGTGATTAATGACAATACGAGATTATTATGACTAATGTGTGTTTTGCAGAGGCAATTAAGTTAGGTCATGGTAATGGCAATTGATTGGGCAATCATGGTTGTCATTCCCCTACGATGGAAATCATTTCGGTTTTCAAAGGATGGACGACAAGGTTAAGGATGGACTAGTTCTAAGTGTTGTTTGGTATTGAAGAGACACTTAGAGTAGTTTAGGACTTTGTTTTTCCTTTGGCCATACTATTAAGGGGGGTATGGACTAGTAGCTTGACCTAGGTGAGTCTAGTGGGTTAGGTGTGGTGCACACTTGTCAAATCTAGCACTAGGTAGCTCCAGAGTAGCCCTATATTAGAGCAAACTTCATTCACATATGATTTCGAGTTGGAAGTGAATGGAGGGTCAAATGACTGATCGGACGCTGGTCTAGTTGTGACCGGACGCTGAAGGGTGAGTCCGATCAGTTCATTTAATCAACTAGAGTCGTCTGGTTGCGACCGGACGCTGAGTGAAATGTGACCGGACGCTAGGTTCCTGCGCCCGATCAACTCTAAAGAGGTTCTAGAAAGGAAGTTT